TCACCACTCACTATCACCACCACCATCACCATCACCACTCACTATCACCACCACCATCACTATCACTATCACCACTCACTATCACCACCATCATCACCTTCACCTTCACCACTCACTATCACCACCACCATCACCTTCACCACTCACTATCACCACTCACTATCACCACCATCATCACCATCACCTTCACCACTCACTATCACCACCACCATCACCTTCACCACTCACTATCACCACCACCATCACCATCACCACTCACTATCACCACCACCATCACCATCACCACTCACTATCACCACCACCATCACCATCACCTTCACCACTCACTATCACCACCATCACCATCACCATCACCATCACCACTCACTATCACCACCACCATCACCTTCACCACTCACTATCACCACTCACTATCACCACCACCATCACCATCACTATCACCACTCACTATCACCACCATCATCACCATCACCTTCACCACTCACTATCACCACCACCATCACCTTCACCACTCATTTGACTTTCTTCATTACTTCTGGGTCATGCTTGACCCCCGGGTTGCTCAGTGCCCACTTGTCACCTTTCAGTAGATTCTTCTGTTTAGTGCAAGTATCTCCTTGAGTGGTTGGTAAAATTTTTGACTTCTAAATTTATATATATGTAAATATATATATATATAAATATAGACATATGTGTAATTTTTTGAGACAGTATCTCTGTTGCCCAGGTTGGAATGCTGTGGCATGATCTTGGCTCACTGCAACCTTGGCCTCCTGGGTTCAAGCAATTCCTCCTCAGCCTCCCAAGTAGTTGGAACTACAGGCACACACCACCACACCCAGCTACTTTTTGTGCGTATGTATATACAAATATAAATATATACATATATATCTTTTTGAGACAGAGTCTTGCTCTGTTGCCCCAGCTGGAGTGTAATGGCGTGATCTCAGCTCACTGCACCCTCTGCCTCCCAGATTCAAGTGATTCTCCTGCCTCAGTCTCCTGAGTAGCTGGGACTACAGGTGCACACCACCATGCCTGGCTAATTTCTGTAATTTTAGTAGAGACGGGGTTTCACCATATTGGTCAGGCTGGTCTCAAACTCCTGATCTCAGGTGATCTGCCTGCCTCAGCCTCCCAAAATGTTGGCATTACAGGCGTGAGCCACTGCGCCTGGCCAACTTTTAAATTTACATTGCCTTTTACAATTAGAGGTATTTTGTCACTAAAATTTGATGTTGGTTGTTCTTGCACGTCCTAATATGCCGTTATTTGTTCTCATTCTTCATTAATAGTTTGGCTGGATTTAGTGCTCAGGTTCAAAATATGTTTTTCCTGAGATATTTGAAGACATTGCTGTTTTTCTTCCTTCTTAAAAAATATTTTTCTTGGAAAGTTAAAAAATATCTCCCCTGGCTGGGTGTGGTGGCTCACGCCTGTAATCCAAGCACTTTGGAGGCCAAGGCGGGCGGATCA